GGTACTCTATGCATTAAATTAGTCTTATATTCCTCTGGTCTCCTCTTAATATTTGTTACTGATAGAAATTCAGAAATATATCTCTTGAACCTATTTCTCAGTAAAAAGATGGTTTAGAAGCTTAGCTGCCTCAAAGCTACCCACTACTTGTAAACTGTGAACTTATATTTGATAAAGAAAAAATACACACATTAAATATTCTCCTTTTCAGGTTGTTCTCCTTTATAATTTTGATAAAAATATGAAAGTATTCCTTGAAAATAGCACAAAGTGGGCCTGTGTGAGGAGAATCTTCATCAACTGAATTACATTTAGTCCCTACAATAACACCTCCTTCCATTAGTGAGAAAGTTATATTTTGTAATAAGGCTAAGATCAGATATCATGTTTATATGTTTCCTTTTCATATTATATTCCCTTAGGTACTAATAGTCTTTCTACTTCAGTCTAAGATCCAAACAAACGATAATATTGCATGAGCCAATGATTGTGCTCTGTGAAAATCACTCTGTGAAAACTAATGATTCAAGTTCAAAATTTTCTGTTGTACTCAAATAAGCTTTCTAACAAAATTAATCAGATGCTCTGTTAATTATGCACATAGTCATTACAGTGTTACATGTAATTAAGCATAAATGCTAAGCAGTTCAAACAAATAACTTTACAATAATTAGTATTGCTTGCACAGTCAAGTCAAATTTTAAATTTTACTTTTTACATTATTAGTTCTTCATAATTCTTCATGATCTGTTAGAAGAATCAATATTTACTATGTTTACATAATATCATATACTGTTTAATCATCTCCCTACCATTACCATGTACATAAACTAGTCCTTGTGCAGGATACAAACCAAAAACAAAGTTGCCCTTGTCTTTTTTTAAATATTTATTTTTTATTTGTACACAATAAATTTATTTTATTTATTTTTATGTCGTGCTGAGGATCAAACCCAGAGCCTCCCACGTGCTAGGCGAGGGCTCTACCTCTGAGCCACAACCCCAGCCTGCCCCCCCAGCCTGCCCCCCCACCCGCCCTTGCTTTTTTTTTTTTTTTTTGCTCTTTCAATTACCAGCAATAGATTAAGGCCTGGTCTTACAGATGTATTTTCCCCTCTTTCTTTCAATCATCCTCATTACCAATCCAAATTGACATCTCTTCAAGACTATACCATATTCTTATTGATAGACATTTCAAGAGTAAAGAAAGTAGAAAGAGGAGAACAGAAGTATTTGGGTTTTCTACTTTGGATTGAGATTGAAAAAGGAGAAGCCAGGTTATAGAGATTTAAGAGAAAAACAATGCATTTAAATCACTTAATTAATATGTCAGCCTTAATATTCAGACCCAATAAATTGTATCACACCCTACCTTCATTCTTTTTATGCTGTAACTTCATCTAAGTGTTTTCTATAAGAAAACTTTCCTATTTCCTTGTTCCTTTTCAACCCCTGTTGCATTCACTTCTGTCCTCATTACCACACTGAATTGCTTTCCAAAGGCATTCCTTGATCTGTTAGGAAATCTCCTTCATTTTCTAGTCTTTATCCATGTGTATTTCTCACTGAATTTAACATTTATTTTCCTGATTACTTGTATGGACTGTCCTTCCTAGGTTTTCTGAAGCTTTCTGGGTTCTCTGCTTATGTGGTTGATTATTTCAGGGTTTGTTTTGTTGTCTTTGATGTCTCTTCTGTTTGATTTTCACATGTGGCAGTTCTCCTTTAGGTTTTACTTGTACCCTTTGTTTCCTTTGGGTTTTACTTGTATCTCAAATAGTGTTTAAAGTCCTTTACTTGTTAGGTTCCATGTACTAACTTCATGCTTATGACTTCCATATCTATATCTACATTCCAGACTTCTCTTTTAGAGGTAAACCCAAATTCTGAGCTCTTCTCTGGTCATTATATTGTGGTGTAAAACCTTAAGATAATCAAAGACAAACATAATATATGTTTGTAATGTCTGTGCTTTTTAGTCATAAAGTATTACTATAAGTTATACTAGTGGACTTTCCACCACTCCTTTCCCTGTCACATTGTAAATCCTCAATGTGTCTAAAACAGTTTTGCATTTGTGGAACCCTAGCAGAGGGCTTTGATTAGGTGCTAAATAAATATTGAACTAAAATAGCATATAAATTCAAGCCACTTTTGGACAAATTTCACCATAATGAAACAAGATCTGACAACTCAATTTCCTAACTTTAAGAGGTAAATGAATTATCTTTGGGATGTATCTTAATAGACTAGAAATGATCCTCTTGTTAATTCTCATTTTAAAGTTAAGCTATTTCATTGATTAACTCATTCAATACAAATCCTATGAATCACTTTCTATGTCTTTAGTAAACTACTAAGTCTAGAATTACAAATGTAAATAAACAAATAAAATTAATTCATTAAATGACATCCCATGGTTTGAACTATCCCTAGATGGTACAGTGGGAATCAGAACAGTTTATAACAAGATGGGGCCATGAAGTGACACTGACCTTGTTTTGTAGGCACGTTCTATCATATATTTGTTCTGATATATATATATATAATCTTGGACTAGTTGTGAGCTACCAATCTCCTCTTCTTTAAAATATGAGGTTTCAAAGAATTTTTATATTTATAGAACCTGAAATATAATACTTTCTAAATTTTATACTAGTGGGGAGAACAGAAATTCACAAAGCATCATTTATTCCATATTGTGTTGGTATAATTTTTACAGACAAATCAATGGTATTTGTGTGTTAAATAACTGTTTATAACTATATTAATGTGTCACTAGCACTAACCAATTATGCAAGATTACAAATTAGGTGTAGTTCATTTGTATAGTAGTTAAAATTGCTTCAAGAAAACCAAAATGTTCTAGGTATTTCAAGAGATAAGGTATTTGATATAAAAAATATTAGTTGTTATTGTACTGTAGTTTTATTCCAGACAGAAAGGAAGTCTTGAAACTTAGTAAGTTTGTAAGTGGCGAATATACATGAAAACAGTACCATGGTTTCTACCCCACCCTTCCAATCTCAGGTTGATGAGAAGAAATGGAAGCCAGCAAAGAAAGCTGTATATAGGAAAGCCAAGAGCACAGTAGCTTGGAAGCAGAGTCAATTGTGAGAACAAACCAAAAAAGAAATAGTTACCAACTGTGTCAAATGCTGCTCATAGTTCAAGTAAAGGGAAGACAGAGAAAAGATCATTGCACTTATCAACAAATAGGTCATTGGAGACTTTTATGTGAAGCACTAGGGGTTAAAACTGAATGGCTGGGTTTAAAGTAGAAAAAGAGGGGGGAGAGAGAGAGAGAGAGAGAGAGAGAGAGAGAGAGAGAGAGAGAGAGAGAGAGAGAGAGATTCTTTTATAAGTTTTAAGAGAAACAGAATTGAGCAGTATTGACAATTGGGTAAGTGAAATCCAGGGTTTTTATTTATAAGTTGGGAAAAAAATAAGAGCACTGAGAATAAACTAGTGCAGAATTCAGAAATCTTTCTCTGTTAAGGGATTATAGTAAATTATTTTAGACTTTTTAGACCCTACCATTTCTGGGGTAGAGTGAAAAGAGCCATACGCAAGATGTAAATAATGGGTGTGACTGTACTCCAATGAACATTATCATATAAAAACCATACTGGGAACTTAGTTTGTCAATCCTGACCTAATATCAACAGGGTGGGGGGCACGATTACATGATTAAAAAGGAAGAGGAGCACAGTTTGAGTGAAATCTGTGAGTAGATGAGTGCAGATGGGATTTGTGCCTACCAGGTGGTGTGGGAGCATTGACAATGAATTCCATTAAGTTTGAAAGGCAAGGGAGACAAGAACATGCATCAATAGGTAGATGGGCAGTGTGAACCTGAAAAATCTCTTCTGATTGCTTTAGTTTCCTCAAAGAAATAGCAAGCAAGATTGACATATATAAGTGAATATTAGGAAGGAGCTTTTACGTTTTTAAGAAAAGGTGTATATAATAATTGTATGAGAGAGTTGAAAAAACTTAGCTAAAGGAATACTATAGACAATTATTGTTTTAGTAATATACCCAGTGTTCAGTTTAGGAGGTTCAAGTGTGTTCTTTTCCCCACATTGGAATTTTTATTCATTTTCATTGCAATTTATAATTTTTCAGAAGTGCCAGATAAGCTTATGACAAATTATGACATATTTTGAGTCATTGAATATTCAAAATACTTTTTTTTTTACCTACTATGGGAAAAAAACTATGGAATTCATTAATACCTCTACATTAATACCCCTAATTTGGACAGTAAAATTAGTCATGCATTCAACTAAATATATTTCTATGTTTATATATTTCTAGATTATTCCTGTTAGGTACTTTTTTTTAATGTATATGCTCCTGTCACTTCATCTGTGTTTCATGCCTTTATCATATTGAATCCTAAGTTTCTCTGATGGTTTACTAAGTTTTGATTCAATGATGTATAAATTCTTAATGTGTTCAGATATAATGAAAAATATAATGTCCAGTTTTTATAAAATATCTTGGTACTGATGGAAAATAAATTATTAAAATGGAATATATTCACACTGATTACTATGAAGGTTACACATGGATTGGTGAATCAAAACAAGGTCTTGAAAGATAGAAAATCACTTGGTGTGTGAGATAAAAAAGGCATGGATGTTAAAATCAACCAATGAATTGACATTTTTTTCTCTTGAAACAATTTAATTTACTAGACATTGAAATGGAAAGAATTTGTGACTTTGAAGATAGTGACAAACTAAAAAAAACTGAAAGACCCAACTTATTGATCTTAAATTTTATTAACATAACTTCAAACAAATGCAATCCAACATATTTTAAAGGAATATACATTGTTTCTTCCCTAGATTAATCATGGAATCTTACTGAGAAAATAATCAGAACTGTTTAATTACCATTATTACTAAATAAATATAACCAATATTTAAAATTTAGAACTATACATATGTTCACAGTTTAACATAGAGACTATATTTGTTTTTCAACTGCAGAATTGTTAACCAATTGCCAGCAGCTGAATTGTCAGTATAAATGTGCAATGATGAGGAATAGTACAAGATGTTACTGTGAGGATGGATTTGAAGTAAAAGAAGATGGGAGAAGTTGTAGAGGTAAGTGTAAAATTAAACTATATTTGTGTTAACTCTACTTGTTTTCAGTTTTGCATTATTGTAACAAATGCCTGCTCTGACCTACTCAAACTGAGGAAAGGTTAATTACCCACCATTTTGAAGATTTCAGTCCCTGATTGATTGGTCCCATTGCTTTTGGACCTATAACAATGGTGGAAACACAATGGATGAAGCCCATTCATTCATGGCCAGAAATTAAAGAAAGAGATGAATAGATAAATCTCCCAATCCCCCTTCCCTAAACTCTTTAAAACTCAATCACCTTCAGTAAACACCTCGAGGTAAGAATAAAGCCTCCTATGCATGAACTGTGTGGCAACACTCTTATTATTATTATTATTAATATTTTTATAGAGGTTTAGTTAATAGAAAATAATATATCTTTGAGCACCTATTATGTTCCACTTAAAGTTTGTTAACTCTTTTTTTTAGATTTAAAAGTTAATACATCCCCCCAAAAATGTAAACATTACTCTTATGAGTTTATATCAATACATTTTCAATGTGTTTCACAATAATATCAGAATGTCAAAAAGGGCAAATGTTTTGGTTAAACATTAACAAATAGATTTAATTATTATACATTTCTAAATGTTTTATGGTAGTCAAATGGCTACAGTCTAGTAAAAATTTATTAAGTAAGTTAATAATTGCTAGTTATGTAAAGTTCTTTATAATTTTTGCATTGGTAATTATGGTAGCAGATACTTACCAATAGCAATAATAATATAAATATTGATACACACATATTATGTACATTATTTGATATGATACTTAGAATATGTATTTCAAATCTCTTAAGGGAGCATACACACAAAATCAGGGAATAGCTGCATTGCCCAACTACTAATAATTGGAACATTTTTCAAAGAAATTGTGCTTTGCTGATTATTTTAATAAGCTTCACTTTCATATTATTGATCTTAAAATTTAAGATCAATAAGTTGGGTCTTTTAGTTTTATACTTTTCAGGTATATCTGTGGTTTGAACTTTAGTTTACTATTTGTTTATTAATATAAAACATTTTTTATAATACAATTGATTACTAAATACTCATTAGATTCTGCTATAAGAGGATCAGGTTGATATGTTTAGTTGTGTCATATTTTTTGAACCAACATTTAAAAATAAGTCATTACATATAAAAGTCCAGACATTCTGAAAAAAATCTAGGGAATTCTAGATTCCTCATAATCACAAAAGTCAGCTTGATGTACATGGCTTCAAATATAAATGGTGCCTTAGGACACACGTGGAATTTGTGGTTCAAAATAGCCCTTACTATTTAAATGTGTTAGATTTAGGTACCTAGAACACATATTTCTCTCTTATTTTCTACACCTTACTCCAGCAAGAATCAGGATTTTCAGTTTCTTTTGCAAGGATAAATTGAAGTCTTGAATTTCCTAGTCTTTGAATTAAATGCAAAAATACAATCATAGTTGATCCATCCTTTTGAACATGAGTAACAATTGTATAGCAATAATTTGAGAAATCACTAATGGGAAAGAAACTCATTTTATTTTCTCCAAACATTTGAATGGCTGGGTCTGAGAATCACTTATACTTCCATGAAACTGTATTTCCAGTCAATTCTCTGTCTTTAAGAAAAAAGAAGGCAGCATCACAAGTAATGACTTGTCTATTCCTTTGTGGCCAATTTTGTGGAGCTGTATTATGTCACAGCAGAATATTCTAGCTAAGTAGGAAGAATAAAAAAATCATTAATCACATTTCTTTCCTGTATAATATAATTATATAAGAAATGCCAAAATAGATGCCAATAATATTGAAGTAGAAAAATCTGTGGAAATAGACAAGAATCATTACTGCAACCAGAGCCTGGATTTTACCAAATGGAAGACTAGATTTCTTTTAGTATTACCATAGACTTAATTCCAAACTCTGTTCTTTCAGTTCCAAAAGCACTTATTGAAAATGAGCCATCCATGGCTGCAGGTTATTATAGGACACTAAAAAAATCAGAGAATAGAGCAAATTAATTCCATATAACTACATTGTTTCCCAATTTAAATTGTCCCTTATGCTATTTAGCAATCTTTTTGCTTTCCCTTAGTAAGTTCCTTTATTAACTTGGGTTTTCCCAAAAGCTAGTTCTGAAACAAGGATTCAAGATTCAAGGTTTATTTGTGCCTCACCATGCTTTCTTTCTTTTTTCTTCCTTCCTTCCTTCCTTCCTTCCTTCCTTCCTTCCTTCCTTCCTTCCTTTCTTTCTTTTCTTCTTTCTTCTTCTTCTTCTTTTTTTTAATAATGGCAGTGAGAGGTGATCTAGAAAGAGAATAGCTAGAAAAATTAAATTTCTACAACAAGTTTTGACTGAGCTGAAATGTGTTCTCCATCCCTCTAGGATGAGGGATGAAGGGACTTAGGTTTTAATGTACATTTCCAAATAGGCAAGAAGCAAGTGGTCATGTGCTGGAGAATGTTTTCTCTCTCCTGGAACTTTGACCTGCCTTGAATCCTAGCAGAGCTTCTCATGGGATGATTTGGAGGAACTGCACATCCCGCAGACACAATGAAAGATACCCACAGGTGCAGAAGTACATGTAAATATTTGAGGGATATGAGCAGACAGTATCTGTGTGTGACAGCCCCCTTGACCATCACTTGTAAAAGAGTACTTCAATCATTCTTTATTCTCTTAAAATGTTTCCTTAATCTATTCTCTTTCATATTATCAATGAGTTTTTATTTTCTAAACATTTTTGTAGGTATCATAAATATTAACTCAAACTCCTCTCCTTTCTCCTCAGGATTTGCATTTATATCCCAACATGCTTTTTTGTTCTCATTTCAGAATAGGTTTACTTCTTTAATTTGCTTGTTTCCCATTTTTATTGCTGCCCAACTGAACTTTTGTCTTATCTTAGTCCATTAATTTTCACCTCTTCTGTATATTTAAATAATGTTCTTTCACCGTCTCACATTGTAGTCAATACATAAGTTCACAATTCTCCAATAAAAAATACATGCAAAATAAAACAAGAAACATGCAAACATCTACTTTAGATACTTCTTCTTCTTATAGCCTCATTCCTGTCCCCATCTCTTCTTTATTATTTGAGATGTTTAACAACTGACTATACTTACATTCTCAATTTTGTTATTTCAATTTTATGTTTCAATCTTTCATTCCTATTATGTGGCTTCTAATATTATAACAAAAGTCAAACACCTTTAAACTTTCCATTTCCTTCAGATCTAGTTGAGACTGGTGAAAATCATCAATTTTAATCCCTAAGTACTTTTACAGCCTTTTCAGTTTATCTGGACTTTCCCAGAGCATCAGTGTTCTTGATTATCTTCACTACAAACTCCACCTCCCATTTATACACATAAAGCGTAAGTTTGAGATCATATGGCAACTTTCTTTATTTCATACTCATCAACCCAGAAGTGACCTTCAACTCTTTCTAGAGTTCCACAAAACTGTCAGGTAAAATCCACTGAAACAATATATTTGTGTGTGTACTGGAATTATTTGAAAGCTTGATAGATAAAGATTTTTTATAACAACAAGAAAATTCTACACTACCAGGATCAAAACATAAGTGTCCTAATCTCCTAGTCGAGGAATCCAAATGAGAATTCAATCTTTATTTTGTTGAATTTCTTCATTGCATATAATTCATTGCATGTAATCCTTTTAAACATTTTGATATTCTTGAAAAGTTCTTCTTTTCTTAACTCTTCCTGAATTAGTCATGAAGTCTCCTACATAGGAGGCTCATGGACTCCTTTTTCTGGCCTGCCCTTTCCACATCAGCACCTGATAACAATTTATTCCAGCCAAATTATTATTTTTTCCCTTAATTTCCATTTATCTGTAGAAATAACTATTTTCTGTTTGTTTAAATTTATTATCTATATGCTATTGAGTCCAAAATGGTATAGAACAGATCTTAGTCTATAATACCAGTCCAGTATTGTCAATTGCTTATTATACATTTACTGAGAGATGCTCTGTGGACACCTCAAGCTTAACATAATCAAATCAAAGTCATTGTCCCCTCTCATCATATCTCTACTCAAATCCACACTCCTATATTCTCTATTGCAAAATTGAACCACCATTCATATCCATCACTTCCAAACAGTTTTTAAACCTTATCTATTTTAATTGTGTAAATCTTAGAGTTTATTCCCTTTTCTTCATATCTAACAACTTAATTAACTTTCCAGGATCCGTTCTTTACATTCACCAATCCATCTTTTCATCCAAACTTGTTTTGGTTGAGAATGCAAAGTTGATCATATGGCTTATCTATTTTTTTTTTTTACTTTTCCATTACCCCTTTTGGTTCAGTTAGGTAGATTTCTTGCCTACCCATCACAAATGCAAACAAAACTTGTAATTAAAAAATTATTTGATATTAAATTTGATCTTTTTTTTCTTTGCTTTATTATCTGCTCCACAAATTATTTTCCCATTCTCATCTGCTACTACTTGCCCTAATACACCTTTACTGAACTTGATTCCTTGGGCTTCTATGACACCCATACTACATCATCCCAATGTCTTTTACCTTGTATTGTATTTAACTAAAATGTTCCTTTTTATCAATCCTTTCTTGTTTTTGTTTTTTGATCTGAAGTTTTCACTTAGTATTCTCCCTCCAGGCCCAACCAGATGTACTTCCTTCTCTCAGATTGTCTTATTATTAGGATATGCCTTTACAATAAAGAAATGCATAGTATCAAAATAATATCTCACTGAACTTGTATCATTTAAGGATACAACACAAGTTTTTTTTTTCAATTCTATTTTATTCTGGGATTAGTACAGAGGTTGGCACATAGGTCAGACTGAATATACATCTGTCTAAAATATTAAGTATGACAAGATGTCTTTTTATTTCATTGGTCAGTTAAGAATCATTAAACATCTACTGTTTATGGAGATTTAAACTAGATGGTAGAGGAAGGAAGGAAGATATTAAAATAAAATTTAATTAAAATGTCTGGTTTCAATAAGTGCTTGATAGTTTCCCTTTCTAAATTAGTGAGGGTGATTTACATAGCTTGGCTCAGAACTCTTATTAAATCTGTAGATTGAAAACTATGTCACAAGACAAATTCTTTGTTAAAATAGTAAAAAGACTGTGTTATGAACACTGGAACTATTCAATAAATATTAATTGCAGTATATTTCATACCTTGACCAAAATCCCCAAGGACTTCTTGCCTACCCATCACAAATGCAAAACTTGTATTTAACAAATGATTTGATATTAAATTTGATCATTTTTTTCCTTTGTAAATATTAAAACAACAATGAACTTGAATTTCAGTTAGTGTGGTCTTGAAAAGTCATATTGGTGTTAGTGCTTCCTTTCATAAGCAAGAGTCTGTTTCCAAAGTTCAAACATATATGCATTCTTCAAGGAGAAATAAAAATGTCTAAGCGTTAAGTTGCTTAGAAATGATGCCAATTTTCCTTTTAGATCGAGACGAATGTGCTATTTACGGTACCTGCAGCCAGACCTGCATAAATACACATGGCTCCTATGCTTGCAGTTGTGTGGAGGGCTATCTAATGCAGCCAGACAACCGGTCTTGCAAAGCCAAAAACGGTAAGTGAATTTTTTTTTTTGTCCCGAATTCCTTATTTCCTTTACACAGCTCCTTTTCATTAGAAATGAAGTACAGCAATATGGATTTGGAAGGGTAGAGTTTCCTTCATTTCTATACACTGATCCATAGTTAGAAATCCAGAGCCCTTCTTTCAGCTGTCACTGATTATTATAAAACTCTTTCCATTACAGGACTTTTCTAATTAGCCAAAACCTGTTAGAAAAAGATGGTTTAATTGGTTTGAATTACCCATCTCTTTCCTGGAGTAGTAAAATTAGATTCCTAACAGGTTTCCATGAGCTCCTACTTTGCCTACAAAATTCATGCTTCACATGATAATGTTATCTGCTAACCAATAAACCTGATCATATTCTTCTCGCCTTTAAAATCTCTCAATAACTTTCGCCCATCCTGAGAATAAAATGTGAACTATAAGGGCCTAATTATCAGGCAATTCCTTTTTATAATTTCACCTCTCTCTGCTCTCTCTTCATCAGTACCACCATACTTGTTTCCTTCTCCTTCTTCAACTAGGTTGGTCTTGCCTGAGGTCATTTCATTTCCTATTTTGTCTGGCTGCAATGTTTTTACCTATAATATTCACCTTAATATCTCCTTCTTATAATTCAATTCCCAGCTAACATGTCCAATTTCAGAAGGAACTTTCTTACCTATTCTATTTAAAGGTGAACACCCTTTCAACATTATATTTGCCAGTTGTATTTATTTATAAACACCTACTGTATTGCTATGATCCAAGTTCTGTTTTCCTTATAACATTACCATTTTAAAATACTCATTTAGGTATCTGTTTGCTTATTATATGATTTCTCCAGAATAACAGAAAGGAAGAAACAAAGGGAGAAAAGGAAATAAAAATGAATGAAGTTTTTTTTTTTTTTTCTAATTAAAAGTACCAAAATGAGTGTTTCACTCTGTTTGGGGGGTGAAGTATTTGAGATTGAACTCAGGGGCACTCACTCAACCACTGAGCCACATCCCTGAGCCTATTTTTGTGTTTTATTTAGAGACAGGGTTTCACTGAGTTGCTTAGTATCTCATCTTTGCTGAGGCTAGCTTTGAACTTATGATCCTCCTGAGCCACTGGGATTACAGGTGTGCACCACCACTGCTGGCTGAGCACTCCACTTTTCAATGTTTGAATTTCATATTTCAAAACTGCCTTTTGCTACTTACCTGTGAATAAATGTTTTTGGTTTCTACATAGTTTTCATCTGCATTAAACACTTAGTACATATTTTTGATCAGCTAATGAAATAGCTTTGAGATGTACTAAAAACTATAGGAAGATACTTATTTTTTTGATGGGTTGAAGTTGCTTGGGAAGACTACTACTACATGTGGTATTCCGTTTGCCTTCTTCTAAATTCCCTTAATTCTTTTTTTGTAATTTGTTTTAATTAGTTACACATGTCAGTATAATGACCTTGACATATCATACATTTGAATCAGATGAGATATAATATCTCATTTTTCTGAGTATACAGGTTGAAGAATCACAATGATCATGCAGTCACATATATACGCACAGTAATAATAATGTCTGTTTCATTCTACTATGCTTCCTATCTCCCCAACCCCTCCTCTCCCCTCCCATCACTTCTCTCTACCTAATCTAGGGTAATGCTATTCTTTTTTTTTTCCTCACATCTTCATACATGTATTTTGTATAACAGTGAGGGTTTCATTCCACCATCCATGCAATTCCCTTTCTCCCTCCCTATCTCCTCCCACCCCTCTAGCCTATGTGGAGGTAATCCTCTTCCCATGCTCTTCCTCTCTTCCCCATTTTGAGTCACTCCCCTTATATCGGAAAAGACATTCAGCATTTGTTTTCCTGGGATTGGCTAATTTCACTTATCATAATCTTCTCTAATGCCATCCATTTCCCTGCAAATGTCATGATCTTATTAGTTTTTAGTGCTGAGAAATATTCCATTGTGTATATATGCCAGGTTTTTTTTTTATCTATTCATCCATTGAAGGGCATCTAGGTTGGCTCCACAGTCTAGCTATTGTGAATTGTGCTGCTATAAACATTGATGTGGCTGTGTCCCTGTAGTATGCTGTTTTTAGGTCTTTTGGGTATAGTACAAGAAGAGGAATAGCTGGGTCAAATGGTGGTTCCATTCCCAGCTTTCCAAGGAATCTCCATACTGCTTTCCAAATTTGCTGTACCAATTTGCAGTCCCACCAGCAATGTATGTCCCACCAGCTGCATCTTTGCCAGCACTTGTTGTTGTTTGCCTTCATCATGGCTGCCGTTGTTACTGGAGTGAGATGGTATCTTAGAGTAGTTTTAATTTGCATTTCTCTGATTGTTAGAGATGATGAGGTCGTTTTTTTTTTTTTTTCCGTATATTTGTTCATTGATTGTATGTCCTCTTCTGAGAAGTATCTGTTCAGGTCCTTGGCCCATTTGTTGATTGGGTTATTTATTTATTTATTTATTTATTTATTTTTAGTGTTTAGTTTTTTGAGTTATTTGTATACTCTAGAGATTAGAGCTGTATCTGATGTGTGAGGGGTAAAAATTTGTTCCCAGGATGTAGGCTCCCTATACACCTCACATATTATTTCTCTTGCTGTGAAAAAACTTTGTAGTTTGAGTTTATCCCATTTGTTGATTATGAAATTCATCTGGAAAAATAAGAGACCCAGAATAGCTAAGGCAATTCTATCCAGGAAGGGTGAAACAGGTGGTATCGCTAAACCAGAACTTAAACTATATGCTACAGAGCAGTAGTACCAAAAACAGCATGGTACTGGCAACAAAACAGGCTGGTGGACCAATGGTACAGGATAGAGGACACAGACACTAACCCACAAAACTACAACTACCTTATATTAGACAATGTTGCTAAAAGCATGCACTGGAGAAAGTATAGTATCTTCAACAAATGGTGCTGGGAAAACTGGAAATCCGTGTGCAAGAAAATGAAATTGAATCCCTTTCTCTCACCATGCACAAAAGTTAACTCAAAATGGATCAAGGATCTAGGAATTAAACCAGAGACTCTGTGTCTAATAGAAGAAAAAGTAGACCCTAATCTCCATCACGTGGGACTAGGCCCCTATTTCCTTAAAAAGACACCTATAGCACAGGAATTAGAACCAAGAATCAATAAATTCCCTTAATTCTGATTTTATGTCATCTTCAAATTATAATGCATTGATAAATTAATGAATGTTTTCCCTCCTCCAATCCCTTAGTAGCCCTTGGTGAATTAGGCATGGGGTAGAATTCTTGTTTCTAAAGCCAAATTGAGCAAAGCATTGAATTTGCTCAGCAAGCTGTTGCTGCTGGCTCTCTTTACATATAAACTCATTTTATGTTCAGCAATTTCCCTGAAATAGTATACTTGATCATTTAGAAAACATACTTATGTAGAAAATCTCAGAGAAAGAAGCCATCTTTTACTTCTTGGGATTACTGACTTGTTGCTTATGAAGTCTTACTTACTTTATAGGTAAATCCTGGAGAAAATTAGATTATATTATATACTCCCCTTTTTCTCAACACTGAGAATTCTGAATTATTATACTGATGGACTCAGGAAGTAAAGGGCTTGTTCTTGTTTTGCCTATTGATTCACACAATATTGCTATGGATACTCTGGGAGAATGCAGTGTGATAAACCCAACACCAAGAAGCCCTTTCTCTTCTTCTACACAAGCAGGTTGTCTGACATTAATATGTCACCAGAGAAGAAGGGTACATGATATCGCCTTGCTACATCAAGGGCATTTGATGACTAGAATTGATGATGACACATACAAATCACTTCACCTCTAGGTCCTTAACTTGGTTACATTATTGGTCAACAAAGTTTAATAAATACACAGTTGTTATGCTATGTAAACTTCCAGTTAATGAATCAGGTTATAAAATCTTGTGGTGATTTTGTTATATCATTGTGTTACTAGCACTAGGAAAATATTATAAGTTAAACTTATATTGTCTGAAGCTTCTTCCAGTCCTGCTTTTGGTTAACTGACTGAGATTGGACCCTCTTTTTACTTTTTTTTTTCCTACAATGCCATCCTATTGGACTCTAGAACCGGACATTCTCTGAATTAAGCCAGAGTTCCTGGGCTTTCAGCTGCTGGGGATTGTGGGAAAATAGGGGAGGCCAGAATGGTATGAATAAGATACTGGATTTGTGTAAAAGATATTCAAACCCAGATGATGCAGTGAGAGGCTAGAATTAGAACCAGGAAGTGGGATCTGCAAGGACTATGCAAAATAATAGATGGGATCAGAGTTCCTAGATGTGGGTTTTTATGTGAATAGGCACCATCAATTAGCGGTGACCTGCTTATGAAGGTGCTGAAGTCATTCATCATAAATTAATATCATGTTTTCTTTTAACTATTTACCTCAAAGCATTCCTATAGGGTCTTATTTTCAATGTGACAATTGATAGTAATTACGTATTTTAATCTAAATTAGTTGCATATATCAGCTTTATAATATAATACCTGAACCCAAGTAAAATGTATAAGCCTTATGAGCATCTTTAAGAAATAATCCTGGTTAGAGAGAGGGAATTTTAGGCACTGAGGCAGATGCAAGAGCAAAGATTAATGTCAGATAGGAAGGTTTTTTATTCCTATTAATTCATGTAACATTTTTTTTTTCTTTCTACGTTTAACTAAAGTTGACTCTGACAACTAAAATAGAGTCGACCATTTCAGAGTTGGAAGAACTTCAAAGGTAATCTAGTCAAACTGTACACTTGAAATTGTATATTTACTGACACAGAAAAAGTATTTCCCCAAAGAAAGGAAGTCTAAATCACACATTTAAAAAAATAACTTCAATTTAAATGTATGCATTTTAATAATTCTATCATAGAAGAAGACATATAAAAATTTTAAAATCACATTTTATGAGGCAAGTGTTCATTAATTTGGAATGGAATACATTTAAAAAGCTAGTAATTTTCTAATTAAATAGGCTTTTCATTCAGAAAAA